GCTGTTTCCTCATGCTTTGTATATTGTCATTCCTTCATTGTCTGTATTTTTAACTTTTAGTGTCAGGAAATCACTTTGAAAAAGACAGAAGTTGGAAAGGCCTCTTAAGAAAAGACCCCCAGTATTTGCAAAAGGTACCTCTGAATGCAGTACTACATAAGAAGAGAGGGTACTAAAACCAGGGAAGCTTTATTGAAGTGCAAAAGTTCCTCCTGCATCAGGGTTCCCAGTTACAGAGTGTACATCTGTATTTGTTGAAATGGGCAGAAGTCTGAGAGCAGGGTTTGGATAAAAATTAAATTAAATAAGCCTTTCTGCTTTTTCCCTTTCTGATCATTTTGCAGATAGCAGCAAGCAGTCTTCTCAGTTCTGCTCACATTTGTTATTGCAGATTCTGTGGCATTGCCATCTTCACAAGGGTTACRTACTACAAATGACTGAGTGTGGGTTGTTTGCCTTCCTTTCCTACCATAACCCTGTCCTTTCCTTTATGAATGAGAGTCTTTTATTGAAACCATCAAGAAAAATGTATGCTCAGCTTAACAGACTTGTGTCTGTTCCTTTTAATAAACTACCTTATCAGGCTTTAAAAMWCTTTTATGGCATGAAGCATTTTATRAAAGAACTATGTTAAATGCACTTGAATGGGAGAGTGTGAAACCTAGRCAAAGAAGCATCAGTGCAACAACCACCTGAGTCAGAGGGGCTGTTGCTTTGTCCACAGTGTGAATTGCCTTAACCATTCACCAAATCCCTGGATCCTMAGGCAATCATTGCCATAATGTGGGTGGATAAGTCACCAAACTTGCTGCAAATCCATGAGTTTGCAGCACTAGCAAGATCATTTGCTCTTGRAATTAAGTGCAATTTTGAAGATAAACTCAGACTGTGCCCTATAATAGCAAGCACATATGGTGCATCAAATGARGCAAGACTTGGACCTGGTAATGGAAAAGCATTTATTTAACAATCTGTGACAGAGTTCTTTTAACTCTGATTTTCACATATAAGCATTTCTTCTTGAGGCACTGTGCTCAAAACACTGATTATGCCAACAGCTTAAGAATCAGAAAGAAAAGGGGCCAATTTTTGGCTTTTTTATACAATAAGTCTTTTTTTAAAAGTCACTTAATGTAAAAAAAAGTTTGGTATCAGCAGGTTCTTTCACAGAGAAGTACTTGTTTTCAGTAGTCCATTTTCAAAATATCATGTGAGAAAAGTTGAGCAATTATTTATGCAGAACCAGAACCACTTCAGTGAAAASGGGGTAAGATATACTCTGTAACTACAATGTAAGCAAGTAATAAATTTGGTCCATCCTGGTTTTTTTTCTGATTCAGCAGCTTCCAATAATATGTTCCCACTGCTGTTGTTTCCTTAATGGAAAAACACCTGGATTAAACAACAAACATAAAAGTATGTACCTTTAGTTTTACTACAGATTAATGTTCTTGCCTGGTATGTAATAGGGTATTAAGAAGAGCAAATTGTTATTTCCTCAAATTTCATAGCATTAATTCTGCTGTCTCCAAGGGTCAGAATTGTACTATCACCATATTCATGRTTACAGTGCAGAGATATTTATACTGATAGTATTCAACATACTGGTATTCTGAATTCTAGCACAGAGCTGCTCTAAGAAACTCTATTTTATTGGAAAGTGGGTAGATGACATTTTCTGCAGGTAAGAAATGTAAATAACTGGAAGGACACTGGAGCAGAAACCATTTGAGGGAATGTTTAGCATGCAGAACAATAAACTACCAGAAAAAGTTTCTTGCCTTCCAGTCAGGAGTTTGGGGTAGGTACCGTGCTGTGGCCAGTTATATATTGCCGTGTGGTCATTGCCTTCTTGGCCAAAGTATTTGAGCTCCTGTCTTTCACAAGCTTTGAAATAAGCTGTTGCAAGAATACGGCTGAAGATGTGAAACTYAAGCAAACTGCTTTAGGCTGCTGGTGAGGGCACAGAGTCACAAATCCAAAACTCTTCTACCTACTTAGAAGACAATTCTTATGTCCCCGTCCCTGCTGCCTGTCTTCTTTTGTCACCTTTTCCCATTTTACAGAGCATCACAGATTGAAAGGGACGATGAAAGACCTTCTGGTCCCAACTTTTGTGGGAAAGGGAACCCAGATGAGGTAATCTAACATCCTGTCCTGTCATATTGTTTCTTTCCTCACTGACTCCACTTCCAGGGCAGCAGGCTACTAAAAGGCCCTTGTTTAAGGCAGACAGAGTCACTGGAACAAGGCAACAAACTCTTGAATCAGACAGAAAACAGTAAATTTGGATGACTCTTGTCAGGTGGAAGCAAGGCTTCATGTGGAACATTTCCAGCCTAACAGCTCTCCTTCATTTCATCATGRCTCTGGTTAGCAATGGAGAACTAGCCAAGCCTGTGTGTTATTTTTCTAAACCCATGTGGAGGTAGGTAAGATAAATAAACTTGGCTGAATAAAGACATGGTAGCCATCCCCTGTATGCTAATGTTTATTCTCTAAACTGCACATTCTCGTGYTTACAGTGAATGTGTCACTGAAGGAGTCTGACCTTCCAATCAATCATTGACAAGCCGAACAAATAGCCCTGCTCTGCTTTGTCTTGAAAAACTCCTTTGGGTAAATGTTTAAAAGTAATTCTATGGTTTGCCACCATAAAGCRGTGGACACAGTTATCAGCAGCTAGTTGTAATTTATTTCTGTTATAAAATCAAGGTCTGTCTGCACAGTTTTCTTATGTGACTTGCACTAATGAAACCTTTATCCCTGAAGCATAAACTAYTACMATGGGGCAAGGTAACAAAGARAAATTGCCTTTGCTGCACACTCTCAAACACAGCATCAAGTCCCTTTCATCARGCAGTTCTTGGTAAGAGTAAGGAGTAAGATCTCTGTAGATATCTAWTGTTCACTTTTTTCCAAACCAGTCAACCCTTTACTCCAAGGAAAGAAAATTGGTGACAGTGCTGGGCTTTTTCACATCTCTTTCTCTACTTTAGAAGTGTTCCCTCTCACTGACAAATTTACTGCCTTTCACTGTCATCTTTAAACTCCTTCCCAGCAGTGCTTGTGACTTTGACCAAGGTGAAGCCATTCACCTTCCTAAAATGTAACCGCTGTAGTGCAAGGGTTATATGTCACTACATTCCTGTCATCTTTTATATTTGAAGTCGGTTTTTATCTGTTCATACTGCTCAGTGACTGAAAGTACAAGTTTGGTTTCTGCCATCTGCAGCATTGTTTTATAACTTGTTTGTATTTGTTCCAAAATCACAGCATCGTCTGGCAAAGGAGTCTGAAAATGAGGCAACTGCACTTCATTCCATTAAGCRTGGTTATTTTCTATTGCTTGGTTCAAATTTTCCCGAGAGATATCAATAATAAAATTAATTGGATTAATTGGCAAAAGCCAGCATCTCTTTTCCTTAGGGCCACAAGAAGTCAGATTGAGCTTTCAGCCATCCCCTTCCCTTGCGCTTTTGTAGCAGCTCTACAAGGCTGCTGTAAGCCCCAAAGTAGGACACAATAAAATGAAATTACAAAAGCCTCTAAGTGATTTTAGTCTCTTGGAGTGTTAAAGGTCCTGCTCAACAGAGCCTACAAGTCAGCACTCCTCCAGGTTTCAGTWATGAGCACATCCAAGGAAATTCTCAACATTGGTTATTAAATAATTTTATTTTCATTGGATCAGCATCTTGGAAGGGAAAGAATGCTTCTGTTTTGGAATACCTGAGACATTACAGTCACCACATTGTAACTACTGCGTTGTAGCTGATCTTTTGAAGCTCCAACTGCTTAAGAGAAGGGATCAGAGTCATTTGAATAAAGAAGGCATCACTTGGTTCCTGTTAACTCTGAAGCACAGAGAACTGGCTTTCCACAGRTCTGCTTTGCACGGTCAGTCTCAGTCATACATGAGCAGTGGAGAACTTTTCCTCCACTCTTCAGTGGATCAMGAGCCATCAGTGGGCTGGCTGGGCAGGTGTCACATGAATTATCTTCAGTGCTAATGAGCTGACTCACACATTGAGCARCCTGAGTCCAGGGAATTCCTCTGACACAACAGCAAGATTTGGCACAATATTCCTGAAAGGCTTCARCTCCCCAACAACTCTGCTACCCCATTTGGCTAGTGCTAATCAAGAGAAGCCTGATGGAAATTACCTGTACTGACTTAATCCTACRTGTGGATGCCAATCCTAACCAAGAGTGCTTAATTTCATGGAGATTAAATAAATTCTCCCCCCCGCCCCATAATGGAGTGCTTGGGCTGTGCTCAGTCTGATGCTTCTTACTGACATATATAAATAGAGATATAGAGATAAATAGATATTTTTATGGAGATGTTTTATAAGTGGCCTTTACTTTGTGCATGGTAACTATTGCCAAACTTGTTATTTAGGAGCTACAGAAATGGCTGGTTTTGCAATTTAGAAAGCAATCGGCTGTCTYTGTTGAAAGGGAAACTTGGGGTATGGGCTTGGATTTTGGTTTTTATTATTCAACTATAATTTGCATGGTTTGGATTTGGGTTTTGTCTCAGTGTAGGGTTTTTTTTTTTCTTTCCTCACTGGTTCTCTGGCAGGGACATATTGGGCTCAAGCAGGAACTTATTTCTCAGTCTTTGAGAGATGGATTGAAGCCATCAGTGCCATATAAGGCTTCAGAAACACCTGCCTTGCACAGCCTGTGATGTTGATCAGTGTGAGGTCTTCAMAACACAGTTTCATTAGCAGTTATTGGGGGTTTCACAGCATAGTGAGATGYTCCTGTCTTGATAGCTTTGCTTGACAAGATAGCAAGCTAGCAACAGCTGGCCTATGGGTACAGYCTTGTGAGCAGAAATGGGGATCAGCAGAGACTAGGACATTAATGATAGTTCAGAATTAAATTCCTATA